CTACCAGGTTTTATATTCCACTTCATTTTTCATTAAAAAAGGAAAAGAAAATGCATGTTGCAAAGCAAAGTACAAGTCTCTAGCATCTTAATTTCCAGAAATACCTCTGGATTCCCAAATTTTCTTACATAAGTAAGAATACATAGGTGCAGCCTAGTGCTAAGAGATGTGCCTATATGGCCAAAGAAAGGCTAAGTTAATAAAAGTTGATAATGAATCTTGGGGTGGGGGTTACGGGATGCCAGGTAGCATCTTGACCAATTTTGTTCTTTTTATCTAATTATGTCCCTCCAGTAGGCATTTTGTGACTGTGCAAGCACTCCCCCAATAGCCATCTTATAAGATAAAAGTTTCAAAATATGAAATGCACTCAACATCCCTAAAAAGTTGAGAGTAACTGGTTTATACAAACAAGTTGGTAATTACTAACCAAATTTCAAGTTCTGGGCCGAGTCGATATCTTGCTCCTTTTTCTTTAGCAATTTCAATACCTAGGAGATTAAATTATAATTTTTATCCACCTACAATATGTTGTCAGAGAAAGCTTCCCATGCTTTGAAATATAGGGAGTGTTATGTGTATCCTTTGATTTTGCAAAACAAGAAAAGAATATTCAAGCACAAGACTAAGAATACAAAACAATTGAGATTTTCAGAAACCTTTTACAACCAAGTTCCTATTTCTCATACTTTCTAAAAGCAAGTTCTTAGTTCAGAGAACAGGTAAACTAAGATTTCTTGTAATTTAAAAACAGTATAACAAAGCTGCTTTCCAAACCCTATTGCTAGCAGAACTAGAAAAACCATATAAATTCTCATTAACTCTCATATTTCTGGAGGCAAAATAGATTTCAACAAATAGCAGCTACTTATTAAGGGTAATAATTAAGGGTACATAACTCTCTCTCAGCCCAACTCACCTCACAGGTGATTGTTGTGGGGAAAATAGGAGGAGGAAGGTGTGCTGATTTTTATTATTTGATTTTTATTATTTCCGTCCTATGTTTATTTATTTTATTTTTCTATTAATGTTACGTTACGATGTGTCATATATTATGTATGTGATGTTCTTTTACAATACCCATTATTTGGTTTAAATATCGAATGTGTTTTCCTCAACTATTTGACTTTCACATTTCGTTATTCTTAAGACACTTCATTTGTTAAATCCTCAAAAAAATAAAAAAAACTGAACACTTCTCTATGTAGCAAATTACCATATTGGAGAAAAAAGTTCTATATAGTCCCATTCAAAACAATAACAATAATATAAAAGTAGTAATAGTACTGGACTAGCATTGAGGTAACTCGGATTTAAAAAACTCAATGACTGCAATTAGGCCAGTCAATTTTTCTCAGATCAATCAACCTCACAGGATTTTCGTTCTTTGAATAAAATGAAGGGATGCCTTTTCTTCGGGTAAAAAGCTCATACAACACAGGGAAGCTATAAAGCCACATAAAATAAGATCATGCATATAAATTAGGAAGGGTCAGCAATAGTTATGCGTGTAAAACTATAAAAAGCTACGACTAAAAAAAAATACCATGTAGTAATTAACTACAATACCAAACTGGTTGTCACTCTGAGAGCCAGTTTTGGTGTTGTGGTTAAGGCACCAGGCTACAAACCTAGGAGACTGTGTTGCAATTCAGCCCAAAGCAGCTCACAGCTGGTTGTGGGGAAATTAAGAGGAGGAAAGAAGATTGCTTATGTTGCCTCCTTGAGGTATTTATAACAATAAAGGTGCGATATAAACATATCAAGTCAAGATTTGGAGATGGGTGGATGAATAGAAAATAACCAATGGGTCAAAGATGCATCAAGAGCTACCTTTCTCCTTATTTTAAATATTGCTAATTAACGCTAAGTTCCATTGCGGGGTAAGAAAAACAAGACCCATCTTCCTTTGGAGCTGCAAACAGCCCGTGCACAGCCTTCGGGCTTACTTTTTAAAATCCTTTCCAGATTGCCATCAAAATCCAGCGCCCACTGATTCAAGGCGCACGTAGCCATGGTCACTGTCCTGCCCATGTTGCCTTCGCGCCTCTTATTCTTCCCCAGGAGAAAAAAAGAAAGGCGACCACCCTCCCGCCGGTGGGACCAGCACTCCCAAAAGCAACCCTTTTACTTCCGGTACCTTCCTCCTCGACTCAGCGCAAAGGGGAAGGGTTGAAGCTTGTGCTATGCAACAGTCTAGGGACCATTTCCGGGTGAAATGTAGCGTGTGGGGGGGGAAACACAAACCTATGAAACTTGCAAAGGGTTCGCCACAGTGATGGCAAAGGATCGAGCAGCTTTACTCCTTTGCTGGGAGCAAGTGCTGGCTACTCGCCCTGCATCGTTTCGCATGCCAGTAGTGGGGGTGGGGGGGGGAATGCCCGGATGAGGAGCAAAAGTAAGCTTTCGTCTAAAGCAGGGGTAGGCAACCTTGGCTCTTTTATGACTCGTGGACTTCAATTCCCAGAATTCCTGAGCCAGTTTAGCTGGCTCAGGAATTCTGGGAGTTGAAGTCCACGAGTCATAAAAGAGCCAAGGTTGACTACCCCTGATCTAAAGCAGCAGTGTCTGCTAGACACTGATGGACTTCTTAGGTTAGGGCAGGGGTAGGCAACCTTGGCTCTTTTATGACTCGTGGACTTCAACTCTCAGAATTCCTGAGCCAGCATGGCTGGCTCAGGAATTCTGGGAGTTGAAGTCCACGAGTCATAAAAGAGCCAAGGTTGCCTACCCCTGGGTTAGGGAATGGCAAGGTTAGATGCAGTGCTTAAAAAAAAATAAGGCTGCTCTCCCCTGCACTTTTTTCTTTTTTCTTTTAACGTTCTTCTGTGACTCCAAAAGTGCAAAACACGAAATAATGGATGAGGGTGAAGGTTCGTTCTCCGAGCTTGTGGGTTGGTTTCCGCTGAGGATGTTACCTAGCCTGCTAGCCTGAAAACCAACCCAAAAGTTCGGAGGACGAACCTTCACCCACATCCTACACCCGAGCTATAGATATTCACCACTATTGTAAATGAAATAATGGATTGAGAAGCATGGGGGGGGGGGGAGAAGTGCCTGTGACGATAGCTTTTTAGCAGGGTATTTTGCTCCCGCAACCAGGGGGTTTTTTTTGTTATAGAACGCCCAGAACGGAGTTCCGGCACCTTTTTTGGATGAAACCTTGTAGGGTAGATAAGGCGGGTTGTCTGACATGTGTGAGTTCTGGCACCTTTTTTTTTTTTTTTTTTTTTACAAAAAAAGCACTGTCAGCAACCATGATATCTTAGGATCACTTCTATTGCCCAGGCCAGGGAGTCGTTCAGGTAAAGATGAGGTTTTCCCCTGTCCAGTTGTGTTAATATCATTTTTTAGCCGAGGGAGCCAGTGTTATCAGTAGAGAGCTATTGGTGTGTGTTGTGTGTATATATACGGTGGTTAAAGTCTAAAGTTCAAGAGCTTCTCTACAAGATATTTCTGCCTTTGTATTTAACATCTCCCATCCCCTTAAAACTCGATATCGTACGTTAGAATTGAAAGACAAGGAGACGTCAGAATTTTATGAAATTTGGAATAAATGTTATAATTGGCTAGAACAGAGAAAGAAAAAGACATAATTATTGATGTACATAAAATGTAAATAAGATGTAAAGAATATTTAAAATGTAAAGCACTGTTCTGTTAGAAGAAAAGATATATGTTTATGTAGTTTTTGGTGTATGGTGTATGGTGAAANACCACAATTGAGCCCAAAATTTCTGTTGCTAAGTGAGACATTTATTAGGTGATTGTATGAATTTTCTTGGTACAGTTGTTAAGTCAATCATGGCAGTTCTTAACTTAATAACAGGTTGTTAAGTGAATCTGGCTTCCTCATTGATTTTGCTTGTCAGAAGGTCACAAAAGGGGATCACTTTACCCCTGGACACTGCAACCGTCATAAATATGAGTCAGTTGCCAAGTGTCTGAATTTTGATCACTTGACCTTGGAGATGCTGTAACGATCGTAAGTATGAAAAACGTCATAAGTCACTTTTTTGAGTTCCGTTGTAACTTTCAGTGATCACTAAATGAATTGTAAGTCGAGGACTATCTTATAAGTGATATATATATTTAATATATATTAATATAATATATATTGTATATAATATATAATATTAATATATTTGATATATATTAATATTGATATAATTAATATAGTTTTATAAAAATATATATAAAAAAGATAAACCCTCAAGTGGCCCCAAGAGATCTCAGGGAAAGTGCTAATGACCAGATGATTGCAAAGAAATACAATCCTTCCATTCCCCCCCCTGCCCCCAATCCAGTTGCCTTTTGAAAAAGCACCTTTGAGAAAACTATGACCTGGATGACTGAGAATCTCCACAAACATATTGCTTAAAAGCTTTTTTGCTCATTTGTCAGCTCCCTACTACTTGAATATTGACCAATGATAGATATCATCAAATCAGGTTTTATTTTTCTCATTCATTTCATAATTCTTTAGTTAATTCATCTCTGGAAAATGCAGTTCTTGATTTTTATTGTGGGTAGTTGAAATTACACTTTAGGATCATATGAACTTAATCTAACATTTTTAGTGATCTTCTATTATATTTTCAAAACAGAACATTCAAGCAATCATATAAGTAGCTGATACTAATTTTATTAAACTATAATTACTCCAAAACTTCTATCCACTGTGGAACTTCAGAAGCAGCAAAATGTTTGGATAAATATATAGAACAGAGGTTTATATGAAATAAAGAATTTGAGGAAGCAACACAAAGCAAATAATTTTTCTTTTAATTTTGTTTTTAAATACATTTTGCTTGATCAAGGGTTAGTAAAAGTTCAGCGAAGTCTCCTTTTTCATAATATTCACGGGTGGCTGTTGCCATGGCTACTGAAATCAGCTTAGCTGGTTTGAGGCAACTGCACCAATCCAGTAAGGGAGCATGAGATGATGCTGAAAGGTTCGAGCAAGTGATTGGATGGTGATTACCATATGCATTTAATGGGTGGAGTTAAAAGAAGGAAAGGTTAAAAAAGGGGATCTGGGAATTTGATGTTAGTATTCTTTCTTTCACTCAATGAGATTAAACGAAGGAGTTATTTCTTTATCTGAAGCTGAAGAATAAAGGCACAGGTAAGGAAAATTAACAGAATTCTAAGTGGACTGCTTCATATTGAATTAATAAATAATAGTAAAGCAAACTGATTGGGAAGCCATTGCATATATTGTTTTGTATGCTGCATTTGTGGGATAGGAGCAAGCTGGCAGCCGGCTTTGGAACATTAGCATATAAGAAAGAAATATTTATATTTGTAGAATGTATTTCTCTTTTAAAATTAACATTATATAAGTTCTTATGTTTACAAAGAACATTCTGAATTCTTCTTAATGCTTGAAGATTTGTTTTCTTTGTTTTGCATTCCCGGATGAAACATTTTTATGGTGTTATATTGAAAGGAATAACTATACATTAGCTTAGATAATAACTGATTAACAACACAGCTAATTTACTCCTTTGGAACAAAACAGTAATCTGGTAGAAAGATTGATTTTGTGCCATATAGTTAGTGTTGACTAAGAGTATCCCAAATCACCTCAAAGGCAGACTCACATAAAGCACCTTGTGTTATTGTATTTTTCGCACTTTAGAATACTTTCATGAAATAATAATAATAATAATAATAATAATAATAATAATAATAATAATAATAATAATAATAATAATAATAATAATAATAATAATAATAATAAATTATTATTATTATTATTATTATTATTATTATTATTATTATTTGGAATGGACCTTGGAGGTCATCTAGTCCAACCCTCTGCTCAGGCAGGAAACCCTATATCATTTTGGACAAATGGCTGTCCAGTCTCTTCTTAAAAACTTCCAGTGTTGGAGCATTCACCGCTTCTGGAGGCAGGTTGTTCCACTGGTTAATTGTTCTAACTGTCAGGAAGTTTCTCCTTAGTTCTAGGTTGCTTCTCTCCTTGATTAGTTTCCATCCGTTGCTTCTTGTCCTGCCATCAGGCACTTTGGAGAATAGCTTGACTCCCTCTTCTTTGTGGCAGCTCCTGAGATATTGGAATATTGCTATCATGTCCCCCCTCCCCCTATCCCTCTGTTAATGCAGCCTAGCACAGTGTTGGCTTTTTTGGCAGCTGCAGCACACTGCTGGCTCATATTTAACTGATTGTCCACTAGGACTCCAAGATTCCTCTCACAGTTACTACTATTGAGCAAGGTACCACCTATACTATACCTGTACATTTGGTTTTTCTTGCCTAAATGTAGACCCTTACTTTTTTCACCATTGAATTTCATTTTGTTAGATAGCGCCCAATGTTCAAGTCTGTCCAGATCCTCCTGTACCTTAAGCCTATCTTTTAGAGTGTTGGCTATTCCTACCAGCTTGGTATCATCTGCAAATTTGATGAGTTCCCCATCTATCCCCTCGTCCAGATCGTTGATGAAGATGTTGAAGAGCACTGGGCCCAGAACAGAGCCCTGGGGCACCCCACTACATACTTCCCTCCATGTAGATGCAGTTCCATTGAGGACCACACGCTGAGTAGAGCCGGTCAGCCAGCTACGAATCCATCTGGTGGTGATGCTGTCTAACCCACATTTTCTATCTTATCAAGTAGTAGGTTGTGATCTACTTTATCAAATGCCTTACTGAAGTCCAAGTAAATTATATCCACAGCATTCCTCTGGTCCACTAATTTTCTCACTTGGTCAAAGAATACAATAAGATTTGTCTGGCATGATCTGTTTTTGACAATCCCACGTTGGCTTTTAGTAATAACTTTGTTTATCTCTAGGTGTTCACTAATTCGTTGTTTGATTATCTTTTCCAGAATCTTCCCAGGTATTGAGGTCAGACTGATAGGTCTGTAGTTTCCTGGATCCATTTTTTTCCCTTTTTTGAAGATGGGAACTACATCAGCCTTTTTCCAATCCTCTGGTAGTTCCCCAGTGCTCCAGGATCTTTGAAAAATATAGTTCAGTGATTCTGAGATCACACCTGCCAGTTCCTTCAGAACCTTGGGGTGTAATCCATCTGGTCCTGGTAATTTGAACTCGTCTAGGGTAGACAGGTGGTCACTTACCATTTTTTTGCCTATCTTATCTTATGTTTCTAATCTGTTTTTTATGGTACTGTTTTTGATAGGTTGGACTGTTTTTTCCCTTTGTGTAAAGACAGATGCAAAAAATGAGTTAAATAGTTCTGCTTTCTCCCTGTTGCTTGTCACCTTCTTGCCACTTTCTCCCTCTAATGGACCAATCATTTCCTTAACCTTTTCCTTGTTTTTTACATGTTGAAATAAGCTTTTTTTTGTTATTTTTGACTTTGGTCGCAAGCCTTAGTTCATTTTGAGCCTTAGCTTTCCTCACTTCATCTTTGCAGGCACGGGCTATTTTCTGATATTTTTAGTTATGTGCCCCTCTTTCCACTTTTTATACTTATCCTTTTTATCTTTCAATTTATCAGAGAGTTCTTTTTATGCAGCCATGCTGGTTTCTTTTGAGAGCTATTATTTTTCTTCTTTGTTGGTATTGTGCTAGACTGAGATTTTATTATCTCACTTTTCAAAATTTCCCAAGTTTCTAGAGTTGTTTTCCCCTTGAGGATTCTCATCCATGGAATCCTTCCCAAGCTCTCTCTAAATGTCTTAAAGTCCAAGACTCTAGTTTGACTGTTCTATTGCCTGTGCCTCCCTAATGTTGAATTCCAATATTGCATAATCACTTCTCCCCAAGGTTCCTGTGGCTTCATCACCTTCTATCATTTCATCTCTGTTAGTGAGGATTAGATCCAATATGGCTGATCCCCTAGTTCAGTGGTTCTCAACCTTTTTAATGCCGTGACCCCAACCGGTCGTAAGTCGAGGACTAAACCGGTCGTAAGTCGAGGATTAAACCGGTCGTAAGTCGAGGACTAAACCGGTCGTAAGTCGAGAACTACCCAACCGGTCATAAGTCGAGGACTTTCCCTGCCCGGGAGCGCCACGCATGCGTGGTTCCGCCCCCTGCACCGGCCGAGGCGTAGCTGGCAAGCGGTAGAGACGGAGCAGGCCGACCACCAGCTGGCCCAGCTCAAGGGAGGTAAGGCACCCGCCAGAAAAGGGGAAAAAAATGGCGGACAGCCTTGCTTGGCGACCCCCATGAAATGGTCAATCGACCCCAATTGGGGTCCCGACCCACAGGTTGAGAACCACTGCCCTAGTTCCCTTCTTTGTCTCTTTTTGGGAGACAAAGTTATTGCTAGGTTTATCTATTTGATCTTCCACTTGGTGCAGAATTTGTCTCCCAGTTAATGTCACAGTAATTAAAGTCCCCCATTAATATTGTGATGTGCTTCCTACATACCTTAGTTAACTGACTAGCAAAAAGTTCATCTAGTTCCTCTGTTTGGTTGGGTGGCCTATAGTATACATCTATGGCAATGTCATTTTTCCCCCTTTTAAATTGAGCCAAATGCATTCAAGACAGTTTTCATCATTGTTGTGCTCCATTTCTGTAGAGATACAGTTATTTCTTATATAATGTTCCTATTAAGGTCAGCAAGGGCACTGTATCTGTTATGCAGGGACACAGCAAAAGCTTTGTGTTTATGGTTCACAACTCTCACTCTGCCAGATCCCACGGTTGTCCACACTGCCCTTCTCCTGCAGGATCTTTGTAATAGAGGGGGTTGATAGCGCGGATGCTGAATAGAGTAGAAGGGCTGAACTGGACACCTAATTTCTGCCTGAAGAGCACAGATTATAGATCCTAAATCAGTGGTGGCGAACCTATGGCACGTGTGCCAGAGGCGGCACTCGGAGCCCTCTCTGTGGGCACGTGCACCGTCGCCATAGCCCCCCCTCCCCCCACGGCCCCCTCCTCACCAGCAGCCCCCCTGGAGGAGAGTCGCTCCCAGGCACGGCCCGCACGGAGCAGCACAGCCAAGTACATAGCCAGGCAACAGGGACAAGACTCCACCCTCGCACTCCTATAGTGTGCAGATGATGCTGGGGGGTGTGGGCAGAGGGTGTGGCTGCCATGGCGCTGCAGGGCTGCCTGGGCGATCTGCGGCGGGCCACGGACACGGTGCGTGGCCCTGTGGGCGGATGAGGCAGGGGGCGGGTGGGGGGCGGAGCAGGCAGGGTGGGAGGCGAAGTGGGGGCGGGGGGTGGGTTTTTGGGCACTCGGTCTCTAAAAGGTTCGCCCTAGATAAATAATCTGTCCTTGTAGACTAGTGATTCGTTTACAAATAGGACAGTTTCCAAGTTTGAAAAGAGTACTGCGAAACACAGCTGCAAACCAAGTGTTGCACTGAACTAAGCCAGACATTCTGAGATGAAAGGAATCTCAGACTCACTTGCCCTGAATGTTGTAGCGCTGCTGCTTTTGATTTTTAGTTATACTACTTTCCTCCTCCACCCTCCTCCTTCTTAACTCACAGATTGTAGCTCTTCCCAGCAACCTCTGGGCAGTTTAAATGCAGATCTGAGCAGCATTTGCATTGTAAAAAAAATTAGAAAATAATTATGCTGAAATCATACCAATTTCCAAAGTTCATAATATAGTAAAACCTCTATTTAATGGACCATTCAGGAGAAGCAAGATATTCATTAAATCCAAATGTCCATTATTTTTGCATTAACATTATTGCATCAATGAATGTATGTAACATGTAAAGCCATGCACTTGTTATAAATGGCACCTTTTGTAGTAAAGCTTTGATTTAACAACACTCTCCATGAGGGACCAGCTGAGCCAAGGTCACTTCATATTTGGGGCACAGTTGATTAGCAAACCTGACCCATAATTAGAAAAGTCAGATGAAGCCAGTTGCATTTCCTCCTTTTGCCTTGAGGAACATTTGCCTTATCATTTGTAGCAGTCCCTGGAATACTGCTATCATATCACCCCTAGTCCTTCTTTTCTCTAGACTGGCCATATCCAATTCCTGCAACCGTTCTGCACATGTTTTTGTCTCCAGGCGCTTAATCATCTTAGTTGCTCTTCTTTGCACTTTTTCCAAAGTCTCAAAATCTGTTTTGTAATGTGGTGACCCAAACTGGATGCAGTATTCCAGCTGTGGTCTTACTAAAGCTTTATAAAGCGAACCTAATACTTCACATGATTTTGATTCTGTGCCTCTGTTTATACAACCAAGGATTGTATTAGCTTTTTTTGGCTGCTGCCACACACTACTAGTTCATGTTTAAGTGATCGTCCACTAGGACTCCAAGGTCCCTCTCACAGTTACTGTTTTTGAGCCAGGTTTCACTAATCTGTACTTGTACCTTTGGTTTTTCCTGCCTGTGTGTAAAACCTTGCTTTTCTCCACATTAAATTTAATGTTGTTGGATAGGGCCCATTGTTCAAGTCTGTCAAGTTCTTTTTGGATCCTGAGCTTGCCTTCTGGGGTGTTGGCTATTCTTGCCACTTAGTGTCATCTGTAAATTTGATGAATTCCCTTTGTTAGCCAAGATATGTGGATAGATAAGAGCATGGCCTTGATGGCTCTGCAAGTACATCTTTAGGATATATCATGTTACACAATAAATTGAAGACCATTTTTGTTTGCTAAGTTTTGGTTTTGCTTGTGAGCTGTCTACTAATATATTTTTATATATTTTATTGCTTTTAAAATAGCAACCGGAAAGAAAGGAACAAAACACAAAGATAGATACATTATCAGAAAACTGCATAAGAAGTGTTTAAAAATAAGTGGAAAAACACAACAGAAAAAATAAAAATAATGTATAAAGTCTATTATATGCCTTCAATAATAAACAGTTACAGTTCTGCATATAATTAATGCAAACATTATGCAAATACATATATATTTTTTTTCTAATGCACATTTTATAACTATCATTCATTTTAGCCTTAATTGTATCAAAAATAGTAAGCAAGAAAAGTTTAGTCAAAAGCTGAGGGGTTTTTTTCCTCCCATACGTAGCTATGCCACATGAACCTTGCCTTATTTTTCCTAAAGTTGTTAAAAGCAGAATTATGAAAAAAAATCATGTAGAGTTGCATATTGCATAATTGGACATGACATTTCACAAAAGAAAGGTTCTTTTATACTCAAGAATGGTATCATATATTTGTGTAACTTCTTCTTCTGCAGCTTCCAATGGCATCTCATAAAGACAGTAAATTTTTTGAAGGAGGAAAAAGTCAAAATGCTATAAATCAAAATGGAGCCTCTCATGGAGGTTGGGGAAGAGCATGGTAAGAAAATCTGCCATGTAGTGACTATACCTGTGCTTATAAAGAACTGTATTCTGTAAAATAGGCAGCTACTGCTGAATTTTAGGGGCATTTGTTTAACATCCAAAGGAGGAAGGGGTGTCATAGAGCAGGGCTTTTCAACCAGTGGTACGGGTACCACCTGTGGTACATTGGCACCTTGCAGGTGGTACGCGACCATCCTAGAAAAGTGGTAGCAGGGGAGGGGAATGAGCTGAACCGGTGGCAGAACCGCACAAGCCTGAGCAAGAGATGGCTGGAGCTGCAGGGCTATCAGGGCTCAGCGGAAACGCCAGGATCAGTGCTGCTTTCCAGCTGATTGGCGCTTCGGGGCTGTCAGGGCTCAGTGGAAGCCCCAGGATCAGCGCCAGGCTCCAGCTGTAGCTCGGCGCTGATCCTGGTGCTTCTGCTGAGCCCAGTAGAAGCACCGATCAGCTGGAATGTTGCAGCATCTCCAGGGTCTTGTGATTTAAATTCAGATGCTTGGCAACTGATTCATATTTATGACAGTCACAGTGTCCCAGGGTCATGTGAAGTGACCAAAACCTGCTGCAACCACCCAGCAGATGGGGGGAATAAAAACCAAACACCCCCCACCCCACCCCCGCTGTCAATCCTCAACAGAAATGCTCACAACAATGAAAACCTCGGACAGGAGGAAGAGCGCCGCCGGGTGGGCAGGCAGGTGTCTTGCTCGGCTGTGGCTTGGGGGGCACTTTTTTCAGTGCCATTGTAACTTCGAACAGTCACTAAGCGAACTGTTGTAAGTCGAGGACTACCTGTACTTTAT